CTGGAAGCGGTCCGGCTGAAAAGCAATCTTCTCAAAGGCGTACAAGCCGATGCGCGGCACTTTGAGCCAGCTTGCCATCATCTCCTCGGCCTCCTGAATTGCTAAGTGTCATAAGTATATATGCTTTTTGTATGAGACCCTCAGCAGAAAAGAGTTCCGGTATGCGTGTTAAGCTTTATGCCAACTGAATCCTGAATCCTGACCCATGAGATTTCAGCGGAAGAGCCATGACAAAGTCATGACAAGGACAAAGGACTCCGCGGAAGAGTGGAACCTTACGGGTTGCCTTTGTCAGAAGCCCCCCAAAATGCAACGACAGTATAAATGTATAGTGAAGCTAAATCAGTCTTAAAGAATCTTGCAGGAAATGCAAGGTGGACAAAGTGTTTGTTCAAGATAAAAACATATTTGGGAAGGTGACCAACTCTCACAGACAATGTAAATCAACCTGTATATGTTGGACCGTGATGAAAACTCACGAAAATTGCAAGGCGAACAACTATAGTTCTAGTCCCTTTCTAGTCTAGTCTCTTGTTTCTTCATGTTGCACAAAACTAAACCCACCTATAAATACAAAATACCATTGCATTTTCCTGCACCACCCCTGACTTGTGCCATGTGCATCCTGCATGAAGGACTTCTCCCGTTCAACCCCTTGTTGGATCTGGATCACAAAGCCCTGAGTCGCCATAACCTTCGCCAAGTTCTCGTTGAAGGTGAGAAGCCACCGGTCGTTGGTCTTCTGCTCGATCTGCATTTGCTTGCACCTCAGTGGTTCCAAGTCGCCAGCCGTTGCCTTCTGCATTGGCTTCTGCGTTTTCCCATGTGTTTTGCGTCAATATGCGAGTTCTCCACGCGAGAACCGAACTCTCCCGCAGGATTGTGCGCATGTGTTTGTTCACCCCGTTTCAACAGGGCGCCAAGGACAGATGCACTGTCAACAATCTTTCAACAGCTCAGCTTCGCACAGTTCGGCATTGTCTGTGTTAGGGTTGTACACCGAGCACCCTGCTCGTTCCAGGCCCTCCTTCACCTTGAGGGAGATGCTGTACCATGGTTCCTGGAAGATGGGAAACACAGAACGCACTATAGGATAACAAGTGGATGGCATATCATAGGCTCCCTCCTCATGCCATTGACTCGTTATCCCCTAATTATAATCAAGATGCAGCGGTTGGCTCAACACGACACCCACCGCCTTAAAGAAGTAGACCTCTTCACCTCTCTTCACCTCTTCACCTTTCTTCACCTCTCTCCGCTCTCTTCCTTTGGAAGGCTGAACTTGGCTTTCACAGCGCCAGTTTGGTGGCTTCAGAGTGACAAAGGTAAAACGATATTCAACGTCTTCGTCTCCACCAACTCAGCTCCTCGAATTTGGTGGAGATCACCACGTGCGGCCGGGTCCCGGCCGCGACCGCGGTTCCGCCCGCGTAGCCAGCGTGAGCAGCCCCGGACGACATGGAGGCGGGCGGTCCGAGCTGCCTCCGGGACCCAGGCGGTCCGAGCCGAGGGCTGAAGGAGGTGAAGGAGGATCGAAGCGGAAGAAGCTGAGAAGAAGCACCCGAGAACTCCAAGGAGGTCTCCATATATCACATCAAATCAAATACATTCAAATACTAGAATGATTTACATCTCTAGTCTCTAGCTATCTCTAGCTCTACATCTTTGCATCTCGATATCAGAAATCTCCCCAACCAACATCCAAAACTCTTCCAAGAAAAAAGCCGGGCAACCAAAAAGGAACTTAGAACTTATAGAACTTCCACAGCTGCTTAGAACTCGAACCACCATCTTCCAACTTCCCGTCCACCTCCGCCAACCCCCCGTCCGCCCCCCCCCGCCTCGGCGAATCCCGCCGTCCCACCCGGCGCTTCAGCGGTCGCGGCGCTTCACCTGGTCGGGCGGCTCGGCTCGTGCGTGGCGTCGTCCCCGGGCGGGTTCGGGCGGGCTCGGCGCTGCCGTTCGGCTCCTTTGAGGGCTTTTTTCTTCGGAGGTCGTTCAAGAGGCTTGAAGAACCAGGTTCCTTTGAGGTTTTTCTTTCAAACCATGCTTTGGAACGTCCAGGCCAACGGCCTAACTGCGCCAAGAGGTGGTTGACGCTCCCCTTTGCTTTTGGACTTCGGGGGGGGGTCGGAAGAAAACGGATGTGGTTGACTTCGGGTCGGATGTTGCAACGCGCGGTCTCCTAAAGGTTTGATGTGCTTTTTACAATGTGTGTCTTTGTGCTTGTTTCAGGGTCAGATTGCACTTAAGACTAAGGTACTAAGGTCTAAAAAACTTCGTGGTCGCATGGGGTTCTTATCACATTCGCCTTTTTTGTTGGATGTATATCCTTCCTTAGACTCAGCCTTGCCCCACACTCCGTCACTTCGGGGGTGCTTGTTTCTGGCCCTTGGTTCCCGAGGGCCCACGCGAAACCAAAAATGAAGAAAACACATGGCTTTTGAGGAGGTCTTTTGAAGTCGAATCGTTCAGGTCTGCAAACCTCGCAAAAAGAACATTCCTCACCTCCCGTTCCCCCCCTCCTCCGTGCCGCGCCCCAACTCCTCCACTTCGATCCTCGCACCTCCAACCGACTCGATGGACTTCGACGCAGCGGCGGGTTGGTGGGAAGCTGCGGAGCTGGGAAGCTGCGGCCTGGAACAGGAGCCGTTTGTGTGAGGACCAGTTTGTCAGCTTTGGTGGGCCATGGAACATGAATCAGTGAGTATATGATATTGATATGGTCATATAAATGCACACTATGTTATGCTTCAAAGATTTCCATCATGATTTACAGTACATGCACAGCAACAAAAAGTGGAGGTGTGCAAAAATTTACAGTACATGATCTAGCTTGCGCAGGTTGACCCCAACATCTACCCAACTTGACCAGCCTGCTGTGTTGCAAAACATCGAGCCACCCTGCACACAGGCTGCGAGGGGGTTGGTGTGTTTCTTCAAGAAAGTGGGATGTTTTGAAGTGGATGTCTTACAGCAGTAATGCTTTGTTTGGAGGGGATCGGTCGATCGGTTTTGACACTTCAGATACATCCCACAGGTTCCAAACCGGTTCAGGCACCCAAACACAACCAAACACGCCCAAACTCACCCGTTCAACCCGTTCCGGGATGCATTTCGATGGAAAAAACAAATCCAGTCGAGCAAGTCGGATCCATTTCCACAGACTTTCAAGGACAAAACACAGTGGACAGAGGTGGGCGGTTAGGGTTCCTTTGCAAATAAAATATCCACAGACTTTGGAGGATCCTTGTTGCTCCCTTCCTTTTCCCCCAAATGAATGAGCCCCATAATGCCATAGATCTGGCAATTGGCCACTCGAAATCAGGGTCTCTAATGGTTCCTGGCTGGACACCTCATTTTTGGGGATCGGTCGTACCAAAACACACCAAAACACACCACTCAGGTCGGAGGTCAAGTCAGACTCAGCTTTGCACCTGTCTCGGTCTCCACCATCGCCGGAGCACCCACCACCTCCGTCGGAGGCACCTCGGGGGCTCTCTCAATCACAAAGCACTTCAGAAAAGACACCCCCCTTGGGCGATTCGGCCAAAGAGAGATCGAAAAAGATTCGAAACATCCAAAACAAA